TATACTTGAGCCCATTGTTCGAGTCAGTGTGTCAGACCCGTGTGTTGAGGGGCTTCCTCTCTTTCTTGGTCCTCCGCCTTACCCAGCACGATGTCTCTCTTCCCCAGGGCCGGCCCGATGTATGTGACACCAAAGTGTCACCCTCCTTGTCTCTGAGAAGCGCCTTGCTTGCATTTCCTCTAAGACAGACTTACTTGCTCTTTTGGCGGGCCGGGAGATAATCGGCACTCACCTCCAATTCCACAATTCAATGGCATCGATTCCTCTTCTGTCATCCTTACTCATTGTCCGACAGAGAACCGATAAAACACCTCCACACGAAAGCACGTTCCTTCCAGCCAAAACGTGGAGGCAACCCAGGCGTCTTCATTCTCTCTGTCAGAGATGCTGGGCATGGATGGCTTTGGGAAGCAGAAACTTACTCTCTCCCAGCTTGCTGCTGTTGTTAGGTGCCGATCCGTGGACTGCGGCTCATTGGGACCCTGAACAACAGAGGAACCCTGTGAAGAGCCGAGCCCCGTCCTGCCTGTACTGTCCTCCTTGCTACTGTGTCAGTCCATTTCATTGAAGGGTCTTCCTCTCCTCAGCCTCAATTCAAAGGCCCCAGTTCTTCTTTAGTCAACTTTATTCATTGTTCAACTTCCGGATGCATAGGACGCAGTTGGAAATACGATGGCTTAAATCAGGTGCACCTTAGTCTTAGTGCATCCTTGCTCTTTAGAACTTTGCTTGGGTCCTTGATAGCAGATTTCCCCCAATGCAACATGCCTTTGGATTGTGTGCGTGTGCGTGCATGCGCAGCAGGGGGTGTTTGTGTTTTGTCTTTGAGGTGCTAGGGTTTTTAATGACAGTTTGCAGTTTCTTACAGTTTAGGAAGTTGTAGTTGTTGTGGGGTACCGTTGAATCAACTATAACTCTGGGTGACCCTGTGAACGTGGTTCTGAACCACACCCTGTCCTGTGCCATCCTCATCAGGTCTCATATACGTGAGCCCGTTGTTAACACCACCGTGTTAGTCCATCTTGTTGAGGGTCTTGCTCTCTCTCACTGGCCTTTCACCTTTTCAGGCATGCTGTCCCTTTAGCTCCTTCTAACATCGTGTCCAAAATATGTGCGACGCAGCTTCACCATCCCCGCCTCCGAGGAGCACCCTGGCGGCACTTTCTCCAGGACACGTGTGTTCTCTTGGCCGTTCCGTGGATTCTTGGTGCCCTTCTCCAACACCACAGCTCCAAGACATCAATTCTTCTGCTGTCATCCTTAGTCGTTGCTTAATTTTCAGATGTATCATAAGACAACGGCTTATTCTTAACGACTGATGCCAAGAATGTTAACTGTGGGTCCAAGCAAAAAAAAAACCAAAAAAACAAACAACCCATCACTATAAACTTTAGTCTTCTGTTTGTTCTGATTTTACCTGTAGGCCCAATGGTGAGGACTTCAGAAGTCAGTCCCTATTTAGGGGGCAGCTGTAGGGTCTGTTCTCCTCTGTTGGTGATGGAGGAAGGTCCCTGTAGCATCTGCAGGCCAGGGGTTCCATGGAGACCGCCCTGTGTTCTGGACTCCCGTATGCCAAGGAGCTTCGTCTGGACCTGAGTCCAAGAAACCTTTCTCCACTCCTGGCGATTATTTCTTGGTGACACTGGGGATCTCCCTCTCGGCTCAGTTTCCTCCCTTTTTTGTCCCTAGTGAGATGAAACGTACCCCAGGCTACCCCGTAGAACTCCCCTGACATCTGATGGTGCCTGCGATGGGATTAGGGGGTGTATCACCCTTAATGGGAAGGAGGTGGCCCTAGTGGCAAGAAGCTGTGCTGCAATCCTGAAGGCACACAGTTCCAATCTGCCGGCTGTTCTGTGGGAAAAGGATGGACAGTCTCCTCCTGTGTGATTAACTGCCTCTCACTCACATCAGCAGTGGGTCGGATCCAACTTCATGTTACACAACAACAACAACAACATCAGTCTCAATGCTCCTCTAGCTCTTAGTTTTATGAGGTCATGAGGGATCATGACGTAGGCTCCACATTTCATCACTGTATGCATATATCATGATGCACTTGTATTTGGGGAGCATAATACATTCGATGACACCAAGAACTCATCAACAGATGAATAGACCGGACAGAAGGGGTCCACCCCTTGGACTGTGACTCAGCCCTGAGATAAAGGAAGTTCTGCTGTGTGCCAGACCCTGGATGGACTTTGGGAACACTGTGCTGAGAGAAAGCTGTCCCTCACGTAAAACTAGGACGATACAATTCCATTTATCTGAAGGGTCTGGAATGGGAGAGTCCAAAGAGACAGGAGGCAGATTTGTACGTGTCGGGGACTGGAGGCGAGGATGAGTCTGGTAATGGGTGCGTGGAGGTAGGTGCTGGTGATGAGTCCCTAGGGTCCCTGGGGAACACAGCTGGCTTGCCCTGGTGGCGTCGCACAGAATATGTCAGACTGTTAGCCAACTAGATCAGTGGTTCACGTCCAGCTCCTCTGAGAGACAAAGCCGTTTCCTTGCATCCAGTTTTGATAGGTCTGCGTCCATAAAGGTCACACCTTGAGAAACCTGTGGGGCTGTGCTCCTGTGTCCTACAGGGTGGCTCGGAGTCGGAATCAGTCCCACGCCAGTGAGCTCTCTGTGTGTATGTATGTGTGTGTGTGTGTGCGTGTGTGTGTATGTATGTACACACATGCTGATCAGCGAGCTAGAGTGAGTGGGTGAGTGCATGTGTGTATGCACACATGTACATCAGTGAGCTAGAGTGGGTGCGTGGGTGTACGTGTGTGTGTGTGTGCATATGTACGTACACACATGCTGATCAGTGATGTAGAGTGTGTGTGTGTGTGTGTGTGTGTGTGTGTGTACACGTACATCAGTGAGCTAGAGTGGGTGCGTGGGTGTACGTGTGCGTGGGTGTGTGCATATGTACGTACACACATGCTGTTCAGTGATGTAGAGTGTGTGTGTGTACACATACATCAGTGAGCTAGAGTGGGTGCGTGGGTGTACGTGTGCGTGGGTGTGTGTATGTATGTACACACATGCTGATCAGTGAGCTAGAGTGAGTGTGTGTGTGTGTGTGTGTGTGTGTGTGTACATATACATCAGTGAGCTAGAGTGGGTGGGTGGGTGTACGTGTGCGTGGGTGTGTGTATGTACGTACACACATGCCGATCAGTGAGCTAGAGTGAGTGTGTGTGTGTGTGTGTGTGTGTGTGTACACGTACATCAGTGAGCTAGAGTGGGTGCGTGGGTGTACGTGCGCATGTGTGTGTGTGTGTGTGTGTGTGTACGTACATACACACATGCTGATCAGTGATCTAGAGTGAGTGGGTGGGTGCGCGCGTGTGTGTGTGGTGTGTGTGTGTTCTTCAAACCTCCCTGCATGGAAGGGGCAGATGCTTTCCAGGGTGCAAGCCAACTGAGCAAACACGAGCACAGAGTCCTGTTGTTGGAGCGGGTGGGAATCAGCCGTTAGCAGCGACTTCCTGAGGATGCCTGTGCTAAGGAGCGGGCATTCCCATTGTTGGTTATGGAATCACCCGTCCCAGGATGCACTTGACTGACGTGGGCTCCGGGTGTGGAAACAAGCATCCTTGTTGGGTGTAGCTGAGAAGGGAGAAGGTTGGCACAGGCTGCGGGGAGGTGGGCAGGGAGAGGGTGAGAGGGAGGGGTGTGTCCTGCTCAGAGTCAGCCCTACCCTCACTCTTAGATCAACGCGGGGTGATTCTGGGGCCGCCTGTGGGACGAGTGGGCACAGACCCCTCTAACTGTCCCAGGAGCCACGTGGGACATTGTTCCCTAGTTCACTCGAGGAATCCTCCCTAATAACACAAGGAGGCACATGTTATCACCCCCTTTATTGTTTCCAAAGAGCCCTGGTGGCACAGTCAGTGGCCAAGCACTCAGCTAAGTGAAAGGTTGATGGTTCGAACCCCCCCCCCCCAGGGCTACACTCCGGTAGTACACATTTCCACTCTGTACATGGCACTCCATACACGGGACTTTGTACACATTTCAGCCTCTGAACCCCTGCAGGCTGTTCTGCCCCCGACAGGAGGCTGCTGTGAGTCAGACTTGACTTGATGGTACAAAGTACAAACACAGCTGTGTGTTTTTGAGTTCTGGTGGCACCATGGGTAAGCACTTGGCTGTTCAGGTTGGCATTCAGAACCCCCACCTGAAAAAAAAATAATAAAAAAAATAAAAAAAAAAGAACCCCCACCCGCCCCCAAGAGCTTGGGCGGGGAAAGACGCTGTGACCTGCTTCTGTAAAGATTACAGCTGTTGATTTTAGGTGCCTTCACCTCTCATAGAGACCTCGGAGCAACAGGTCAGAGCCCTGCCCTGCCCTGCGCCATCCTCATAATGTCCACCATGTGTATGCCCGGTGCTGCAGTCATGTGTCCCTCTATCTCATTGAGGGTCGTCTCTCTCAGTGACCCTGAAGTTTCCCCAGCTCAAGGACTGGACCTCCCAACAACATGCCCAGAGTCATAGATGTGACGCCCACCGTCTTTACCTCCAGTGAGCACCCCGGTTGCACTTGTCCAGGATAGATTTGTTTGTTGTTTGGAAGTTAGTGTTGTATTCAGAACTCTTTGCCAACACCACAGTCCAAAGGCCCTGCTTTTGTAAAGATAACAGTCTGGGAAATTCTGTGCACTTGACTCGGTTGTGTTGGGAAGGTCTGAGTTGGCACCGGCTTGACAGCATCCAGCATTGCCTGCCCCACCCCCATCTTACCCACGCCTCAGTCTGGCTGGTTTCACCGTTGATATCACTGGACGTCCCCGCAGCTGGGACTCCCTGGGACAGTTGGCAGGACTTCATGGGAGGAGCTGGGAGGTGCAGAGAGCTGAGGTGTGTGAGCGCTCCCCTCCTCACAGGCCGGGAGACAGGACATCCCTGACTGACAGGCCCTCAGGGGCACACTGGGCTGCACGTGGTCCTGCCTGGCCAGCATGGTGCTGAGGATGACGATGATACCTGCTTCCTCGCAGGTCCTCATTGACTGGGTCAACGATGTCCTTGTGGAGGAGAGGATCATCGTGAAGCAGCTGGAAGAAGACCTGTACGACGGCCAGGTGCTGCAGAAGCTCTTAGGTGAGTGCGCGGCTGAGTGGGCACGGTGCATGGGGATGGCTGGGACATAGGGCAGGGACAGCGCGAAGGGGTGACAGGTACACAAGGCAGGGGTGGTGCATGGGGATGGCAGGGACATGGGGCAGGGACAGCGCGAAGGGGTGACAGGTACACAAGGCAGGGATGGTACATGGGGACGGCAGGGACACGGGACAGGGTGGTGCATGGCATATGTAACATTACAAGAAGGTCAGCTGATGTCATATGTCATTCCAAGCACACCAGCATAACTACATCTAGACTAGTATTTGGTCTGACTCTGGGCTCCCGCTTGGGCAAGTGGACACGTTGAACGGGCCATCACAGATGTCCGGCTCCAGCTCTGAGCCCCGCCCCCATGGTGAGCCCCGCCCCCAGGGGCTGTCTCCCAGCCTCCCTGCACACGCAGCTCCGCAGCTCCGTCAGGTCCCCTGATCTTGGAGGAGAACCTCCTGGGACTGTGAGAGTGTGTCATCAAACTCAACCCACCAGTCTTTGTTTTCGCTCAGTTGGTCCTCAAAAGACAGGTGTTGGGAGGGAAAGGGTTTGTGTTTGCCTAGGTCTTTCATCTGTTCGTCTGTTAGGTAAAGGTTGGTTGGTTGGCTGGTTTGAGGCCCGAGAGACACAGGCTAACACGAAGGTGGGCCTTGCCCTCTGAGACGCACTTGCTGGCCAAAGGGGAGAGGGACAATGATGTCAGCAGGTGTCGTCCAGTCAGCTGTGACTGTGCTACCTTCTGTGCACCATCGAGACCCTGCCGGGCCCTGCGCCGCCCTCACAACCCCTGTAGAGCCCACGGTTATAGCCCCTGGGCCAGGCCACCCCCTTGAGAACCCTCCTCTCTTTTATTGACCCTCTACCAATCTTGGTGCCCTTCTGCAGGGATTGGTCCCCCTGGGAACATGCACAGAGGAGATGCGTGAAGTCTGGCCTTCCTCCCTTCTGAGGAACATTTCTACTTTTCGGACAGTCCGTGGTTTATGCCAGATTCTTTGCCAACATCCCAATTCACAAGGCATCAGTTTTCCCTTTTCCTCATCCCTTGTCCAGCTTTCTTATTCATATGAGTTAATTGGAAAGACGATTGCTTGGGTCTGACACTAATGATGGGGTGAGGGAGAGGGTTGGGGCAGAGACTGGCCTGAGGGGCAGGAGGCTGGGTGGCCCCTCCTGAAGGCTCTGAATGGAGAGTGTTCCAGGCCAGGGCTCCCTGGGAGACAGAACCTGCTGTGTTGGTGAGTAGTATTAACTGACAGGGTTGTTGTTGTGGCCAGAGTGCAGGGAGGGTGGGAGAGAGTCGAGGGAGGAGGCTGGGAGGGTGGTGGGGCCAGGTGATGGCCTGCGCTGATGGATAGTGACTTTCATTCTAAGTGACAGGTGGTCATTGGAGGCTTCAGTGTGACTGGAGTTAGACGTGAAAAGGTCCTTTCGGTAGCTGTGCCAGAATGAACAGGGAAGGGGTCAGAGGTCGGCGCCGAGAGGGCACGCAGCACACGTCAGAGCGGCCCAGTGCTGATCAAGGGGCTCAGTCCAGGGGGACGAGGGGACACAAGGCTTGGCAGGGAGGGTTTTGGAGGACTCGTGGTCACTGCTGAGGAGACGAGGCTGCCGGCCAGTGTTGTGGTGACCAGGCAATGGGGACGCTTGGAGCAGTGTGAGGAGTGGGGATGCGGTGTTTGGGATTGCATGTGGGGGAGCTGAGTGAGAGGCTGTCGCACTGGAGCTGGTCGCTGGGGGCGTGAATCTGGAGGCCAGAGGAGCATCCAGGCTGGCGCTTACGTAAGCGTGGAGGTGGGCGGCTTGGAGGAGATGGAGTTGGACCACAGGGGTCACTGGAGAGAACGCTCCAGACTTGGGATTTGTCCGAATGCCGAATGGCCAAGCAAGGGCGCCTGCGCTGCACCTTAGAACGAGCTTCTGAGGTCTGAGCAGAAATCTGAGGAGCCAGCATGGCTGTTTAGCTGTGTTGTGTTGTGTTGTGTTGTGTTGTGTTGTGTTGTGTTGTGTTGTGTTGTGTTGTGTTGTTCATTGCCAGAGTCCTTTCTGATGACACCGCAGACCTGTGCTGTGTGGGGTTCACAAGGCTGTGACCTTTTGTGAGCAGATCAGCACATCAGTCTTGGTGTCTGCTGAGGTGGGACCCACCCAGAACTGACCCTCCAGTGGAGTTTCAGAGACAGTAAATGGCCCGAGAGGAGATTGCCCATCCTCTCTCAAGGAGCAGTGGGTGGATTTGAACCACGTGCCTTTGCGATTGCAGCGCAGCTTCTTAGCTGTGCTCTCTGGTGTTGCATCCTCTACTGGTCCAGCTGTCCTTCGCCTCGGAGAGGAGCAGGCTGAAGTGAAGACTTGGTGCCACGTCAACTCTTAGACTTGAAGACTTGACCATTAGTGACAATGTCCACTCCAGAAATTTTCCATTCATTCCAACCATTTTTAAGATATAAACTGGACTGATAGGCCGTATCATGATCGACAGCAAAAAGATTGAAACTGTCAACAACTTCATCGTACTTGGCTCTATGATTAACACCCTTGTACCAGCAGTCAGGAAATCAGGAGATGTACTGCACTGTGAAAGTCTGTAGTGAGCAGTTTCTCCAAATTATTGAGGAGTAATGGTATCAGTTGGAGGACTAAGGTGCACCCGATTAAAGCTATGATCTTTCCAGTCATTTGTTACTCATCTGAGAGCTGGAAAAATAAGGATGAAAGAAAAAGGATTGATGCCTTTGAGCTGTGATGTTGGAGAAGAGCACTGAACATCCCACAGACTGCCAAAATAACAAAAATATCATGGACAAAGTGCAGCCAGAGTGTTTCTTGGAGGCAAAGGTGATAGAGCTTAGTATCACATACTTGGGGCTCACCCACCCAAATACATGTACATTTCAAGTCCTGTAAGTAGAATTGTGGCATTGTAGGCGACTTCAAAAGAGTCCTGGTGGTGCAGTGGTTAAACACTTGGACTGGAAAGTCAGCAGTAGGAACCCACCAGCCACTCTGTGTGAGAAGGTTCCCTTCTGTAAATATCACCACCTTGGAATCCCAGGGATTCTGTCCTGTGGGGTCTCTCAGTCAGCATCGCCTTATGGGCAGAGGGTTTGGTCTTGTCTGGGTTTGGTGATGCCAGCTTGTATTTTTTTTTTTTGTACAAAATTTGAATACATTGTTCTTCACAAAAGATCCTTCCCATTTCCTTCCCCCCCACCCATCGAATTGTGCAGCCCCATAATTAGCTATCCACTTGCCCGTCCTCACCCCTCTGCTTCCCCCTCCACCCCTTGGATCCTCATACTCATTCTACAATAATGGTTTTATACAGTATTTGTCCTTGTGGGACTGAGTTAGTTCTCTCAGCATAATGTTCTCCAGTCCCTCCCAAGTTAGGTAATAATTTACAAAATCATTGTTCCTGAGTGCTGCATAGTATTCCATTATATGAACGTACCATAATTTCTCAATCCATTCGTTTGTGGTTGGACTTCTGGGCTATTTCCATGTTCTTGCGATGATGAATAATGCTGTTATGATCATTGGTGTAAAAGTCTCCATTTGAGCCTCAGAGCTCATATCTCAGGATATATTCCAAGCAGTGGAATAGCTGGGTCATATGGAATTTCGTATGTTCAGCTTTTTGAGGAAGCGCCAGACTGCCTTCCAGAGTGCCTGTACCATTTTACAATCCCACCAACAATGTGTAAGAGTTCCTATCTCGCCACATCCTCTCCAACATTTATTACTTGCTTTCCGGTTAAACTTTGCCACTGCTGTTGGAGTGAGATGGTATCGCATTGTGGTTTTGATTTGCATCTCTCTTATTGCCAGTGATTTGGAGCATTTCTTCATGTTGGTGATGTCATCTTTAAAGGTTTGAAGAGCTAACAAGCAATGGTGATGCTCTGTGGTTGGCGTCCTTGGACTGGTACTTTGCTCACCTCACGAAGGAGTCAAAAACCAAGCCAACTCCCTGTCATGGTGAATTCCCACTCTAGCGGATTTCTGAGGCTGTATTTCTTTACAAGAGGCAGACAGTGGATTTGAACAGCCAACCTTTTGCTTAGCAAAAGCTAAGCCCAGCACATCAAGCATGATGCCCCAGGGCTCTTTGCCTGAAGAAGAGACTTGCTGATCTTTGCAGGAGCAACCTCAAGAGGGTTGTGTTCTTACATATCCCTGGTTCTTTCACATGCTGGCCTCACCCTGCCGTGTCCCTAAGCCTGAGTCTAGCAGTGCAGCTGCAGAACTTGGGGACTGCCCCCCAGGACCTCAGGGCAGGCTCTGAATTAGCATCCGCCTGTCTGCCTTGTTTGTGGGCACACATCTTCAGCTTTTTCTCTGGAGCAGAGCGGTGAGGTCGCCCAGTCGGGGTCACATCCTTTGGATCCCCGTCAGTGGGCCCAGCTAATGCAGACTTGCACTGCAGCACCGGGCTCCCATCAGTCTCCGGTGACCCTGCCGTCTGTGGGGCACACGGTGGGGCTGAGGGTGGCTCCCACAGCCCTTACAACCTGGGGAAGCTTCCGTTCTATCTTGTTTGAATAGCTTGAGTACTTGATAAGGCAACTTGAAAATCTCTTGCATGTCAAGTGGTTTTGACATATCACTTTGCTTGACTGAGACAAGAACAATGGACGGAAATGTTGGGCTATTAATAGGCTGCGGGAGTGGCACGCCTGGTTGTAGAAATGATGCCGTTACACTGATAAGAGGCGATCGTGACCCACGTGGTGGTGCCAGCCCAGCCCTGCATGATGTTGATGTAGGTGCTTGGATGCTCAGCTTCCCAGGACAGAACCAAATCCAAATAGGAGACTCTGTGCTCCTGCAGCAGCTCTGCTGGTGGCTAGTGGTTCCAGAAGCAGCAGCATTGCAATCCCGAAAGCACACGGTTCGAATCCACCAGCTGCTCCGCAGAGAAAAATGGACCGTCTCCTCCCATGTGGTTGACTGTCACTGAAACCCTCTGGAGGGTTACCTGT